CCCTCACCGTCTTCACTATATTTTACTCTCCAGTCCGCTGTCTCTCTCGCCTTATCGCTCACTCCCTCTCTCCTCCTCTTTTCCTATCTCTTTCTTGACCCCCCTCCTCCCTCCCTCATTCCATTACCACCACTACTACCTCTGTTCCCGAGAGAAGATTGATTGGCCAATCTAGCTGTTTACCCACAATGCCTAGTTGTGCCGAGAAGGAGAGGGCAATGTAGACCGCATGAAGAAAACAGACAGTTGTTAAGGTGTTTGAAAATGGAGTAAGTGGCCGAATGTCATAGATTAAAAAAAAAGGGGGGAGGGAGCCGGATCGAAAAAGGTTTTATTTTTTCTTTGAAATCCAGTAGCCACAGGATGTCTTGAAATCCTAACACTGAAGAGCACTTGATATCAGGGAATGAGCTATTCTTCATTATTATTCAAATTATATTTTTTCCTCTTGTAAAATGACAAGATTTGTTAGATAAAGGAAAATATAACAATGCAATATATTCATGCCCTCTTAAGTATTTAAAGATGCTTTGTATTTGACCAAAATAGTATTAAGCTCATTTTCAGCCTTTCAGCTGTATTTGTAATTTACCGGCTGTCCGTTATGCTGCTTTCATTATAAGTGTTTTATGCATCTTCAAAAATCCAAACTGGAAAACTTTATGCACCATTTGAAGGACATATCATGTTTTCTTTTCTCTCCTCTTTACTCTACTTTAATGCCAAATGATATGCATTACAGTTGAATCAAATAAACACTTTTTGATTAAAAAAAGATACTTGCGTGTATTCTGCCTTTTCCTGTTTTGCCTTTTCACTGTGCAGCAATAGAAGTGTGCTGTAATGGAAAAAGTGAATTAATACTCTAGTAAACTTGATCATTGGCTGTGATAAAAATAGGAAACTCTACGTTACATGTGTGGCACAGACTAATGTGTTACACGGCTGAAAGCAGCTGTTTGTCTCCTTCCGTAATTTTAATATTATTTAGAAAAAAAGTGGATCCTTGGTGGTAATGTGAAACAGCGGTGGAACACACAACATTTACTAACAATTACAACAATTACTAGAAGGATATCGGGATACTGACAGATATTTGCCAAACTTGATGTCGTAACTTGATATAAACAACAAAGTGAAAGAAATGCAGTGGTAGTTTGAAGTGGTTTAATTTGAGTGGAAACATGGAGGACCATTTTGTTTTATTAATATGCAGATATCTCCTTGTTCTGAAAATATCTTTTAAGTTTAGTCGAAGCTATATTCTGGTTCAAAGTTGTTTCTCCTTTTCCTCATATTCTTGTGTTTCGCCCTCTCTGCCTTCTCTCTGGAGTGTTGGCTAAGTGGATGTTGTGTCTGCAGCATGTATTAGTGCTGTCATCCGGTGTGTGTGCATGTGTGTATGTGTGTGTCGGCCTGTCTGGTTCAGTACTGATGCCTTGGCAGCAGCTTTTGGGGAAAAGTGTGCGAGTGTGTTTGGTGTTCGCCAGTTTTGAGGACCAGCTGGGCTTTCAGAGATTGTGTGTGTGTGTGTGTGTGTGTGTATTTGTGTATTTGTTTGTCAGACGTGACGGTGAGAGTAGCAGCCGTATCCGGTTGCTCCAGAGCGAAAACACACTGTTTTGACTGGGCTGATAAATTAGCTAGATCACCACAGTCAGCTATTTTTCCTCCCGTCTCCACACTCCTCCATCCTCACTCCTTCACCTCCCTCCTCCTCCTCCTCCTCCTTCTTTCCCTCCCTCTGTGCGCTAAGGACAGCGGGTCAAGGAGACAGTGATGAGGTACATATCAGTGTGAACCAGAATGTAGATTAGTACCCTCTCCAGGCGGGGACACACATGAATACCGACACATACACACACGGATACTTTGGCTGTCTCTTGCTACCTCTCCCCTCTCTGCATCCACTGTTTATGTCTCTG